AACTGGAACCTGCCTCCGTTTCCCAGCCACTGTCCTCCTTACTGAGCAGCAACACCCAACCGACCATCAAACCCAGCCCCTCCGCCTGCCCCTCTGCAGGAGACACTGGCAGGGAGCTTTTTAGGGGCTAAAAATGGGCTTTAAAAGTACAAAAAAAAGCTTGGAAAAAGAACATTCCTTCCCTAGTCAGCAGACACGAGCCCCAAACCCTCTTCTGTCACCCAGCAGTAACTATAAACATCAAGGTTATCAGCCAAAAAACCTGGCTGTTCATTTCAGCCAATTGTGCTGCTTAAAAGGGTGAAGAAAGAAAACAAATCAGTACAAAATTTGATTTATCCTCACTAAAACCAGGACATCTTCTCTCCAAGACCCCAAATTTAAAACCTGAGCCATCATGGCTCTTCTTCCTTTCTTTCTCAATGGTGTTTTTCCAGCAGGAGACACCCAGGTTCAACCCCAAAACCCCACAGCTCCTGGGTAGAGCCACTTCAGACAGATTTGGGCAGAGGTCTCTGCTCTGCCACACACACAGGACCTGAGCAGGAGGAATGAAGAACTTCATCAAAAGCTAAGGGTGGAAAACTGAGCAGCTCCTGTTCCTACCTTCCTGGGAGGAGGGAAGTGTGGGTGGGGTGAGGTAGTGTGAGACATGAAGCTCTGAGTCTTTTCAACACCCTGCACTGAAGCCACCAGACGTGCTGTGGCTGGTGGAGACAGGAGTGACACCTCTGCAACCAGGATCTGAGGTGGTGGTTAACTCCAAGTGTGTAGAAGAGACACTCAGCTAGGAAAGAACTTCCTTCCTCTGCTGCCACACTGAGCACACAGTTTTTTCTTTTCCAAGTGCCTTGAACACCAGAGGAACAAAGCAGCTGCTGGCATCAAGTCACTGGAAGGGAATTCCTTTCCATCCTCCAAGGCTGCTGCCAGCCCAGCAGGTTGGGAGGAGCAGGAAGGCAGAGCAACCAGGAGCTGTGGAGCAGCTCTGCTCACAGGGAAGCCCCCCAGGGTGTGATTCCTCAGGTATTCCCAGCAGTCATGGACAGTCAGGCTGTGCAATCACAGCTTCACCTCCTGCTCACTCCATGCATCACCCTGGGAGTGCCCGGGGAGGGGGCAGAGAGGGGGAAATACTCGGGAAGAAAGAGGGTTTCTTGGGTGGTAGGACCAGTTCACACCAGATGATGGGCTGGTTAGATGGGGCTCTAAGCAACCTCCTCTAGTGGGAGGTGTCCCTGCCCATGCAGGGGGGTTGAAACTAGATGATCCTTAAGGTCCTTTCCCACCCAAACCAGTCTGTGTTCCTGTGCACTGACTCACTGGCTGTGCTGGCCCAATGCTGTGTTCATAACACTCCCAAAAATCCTCCCCCACACACAAAACCAGCTCATCCTTACTGGGAAAGAACCAACAGACACGAAAGAAACCCCAGACTCCATTAACAAAACCAAACACACACACACACACAGAGTGTTAAAAGGCTCTTTGAGCTCCAAACTACAAAAGAGGGGTTTTCTGAACCCTACTGGCAGCTCCAGGACATCCGAGGCCAGCCCAGGTCCCCAAAACACACCATGATACCACTTCTGGGTCAGGAAAAGAAACGAAAATGAAGAGTGCCAGGGTTTTTAAGAGGCCACTCACCACCCAGGCCACTCAGCAGCTACTCAGGTCAAGCCAACCTCTTTTAAACACATCAAACCACCAGCTGAGAGAAAGAGCAGCAGCAACTTCAGAGAACAAAGGGAAGTATTAGAACCATTAGAACCACCATTCTTCTTTATTTGCTGCCTGGCATGGGAAGACTAATTAAAGCACCAGTTCAGATGAGAAAAATGAACTACTTTTTTCTTCTGTGTGATTAAAACCACCTACTTGACAAGCTTGGTGTCAGGCAGTGCCTGTGTCACAGTCTCTATCAAGGGTGAAGCTGCTCCAACCTTGTCAATGAGTTCACACTAATTATAACACGTTGGACAAGAGGGTGTTTTTTTTTTTAGAGGAACCTCATTTCTGAGAAATCTGCTGGAGTTTGTTCACACAGGAAATTGGTTTCTTGGAAAAAAAACAACCAACATGAAAACCAAACACCATGCACTAGCACTTCCAAGAAGCTGCCTTGTAAAAAAAGCTTTTGAGGGAACTCAAGAGACTAAAATGGACCAAGGAGAGATTCAGTCAGATTAAAATAAATTAAGTAAATCTAGTAAAAAGAGACTCAAGCAATAATCCATTCATAAAAACATCAATGGGAGAAGAGATGAATGGAGATGCAACAAAACTGGCTGATGTTTCTTTGGACAAAGGGCACAGACTTCCCAGGACAGTAAAATCTATAGCTGGCCCCAACTGTAGAAAGTTCTCATGGTGCCAAAAGACTAATAAAATGGCTGATAAAGTCTGTAAGTTGGTAGATAAAAAAGGAATGGAGATGAGAGAGAGGCAAACGTTTTCACTTTGTGTTAAGCACTGCAAGGGGGGGAAAAAAAAATCCTGGTTTTCTAAGGGAGATCCCTGAAAACATTAGTTTGCTGCTTAGCAGGAGTCCCAGGAGGACTCTAGGAACTATCAGAACAGAGGAAGTGGGAAAATGTGCATCTAAAAGGCTTTGGGGTGAGGTAGTTACAGGTCACCTGTCAATTATTCAGTCAGATTCAGACAGGTGCCCAGGGCAGAGCTGCTGGGAGGGGCAGGGACAGACACAGACACAGAGCAGCCCAACACACCTCAAACCCAACACAGAAACAGAATTCAGCATTTGAACAGCTTGTCATGGGGGATGGTAAGAGGTTGATGCCTATAATCAAGAGCCAATGTCTAAGGCACAAGCTTGAGCTCAGGGCTGGACACAGGGGGTCCTGATGGCAAAAGACACCAGCCCTGATCCCACCCACAGGGGTCCAGAAGAGAGGAGCTGTTTGCACCAGATGGATAAACATAGAGTCACAGACTGGCTTGGGTTGGAATGAACCTTAAAGATCATCCAGTCCCACCCCCTGCATGGGCAGGGACACCTCCCACCAGCCCAGGCTGCTCCAAGCCCCATCCAACCTGCCCTTCAACACTGCCAGGGATGGGGCAGCCACAGCTTCCCTGGGCAACCTGGGCCAGGCTCTCACCACCCTCACACCAAAGAATTTCCTCCTCATGTCCAACCTCAATCTCCTCTCTGCCAGTTTTAATCCCTTCCCCCTTGTCCTCTCCCTCCCTGCCCTTGTCCCAAGTCCCTCCCCAGCTTTCCTGGAGCCCCTTCAGGCCCTGGAAGGTGCTCTAAGGTCTCCCTGGAGCCTTCTCTTCTCCAGGCTGAACACCCCAACCCTCCCAGCCTGGCTCCAGAGCAGCTCCAGCCCTGGGATCACCCCCCAGGCCCCGCTCCAGGAGCTCCACCCCCTCTCCCCGGGACCCCAGACCTCCCGCAGGTTCCGCCTCCCCCGCCGGGCGCCAGGACCCCCCTTCTGTCCCCGCTCACCTCGGGGGGCGGCGGGGGGGCCGCTGCGGGGCCTCAGCGCATCCCGGGCCGGGACGCGGCGGCACAAACCGGGCACCGGCGGCACTTCCTCTGCCCGGGCAACCCCGCAGCAACGCGCCTCCCCATTGGCTCTCCCGAAGCCACGTGACCGCCGGGCCCCGCGCAGGCGCGGGAAGGGAAGCGGCTCCCGGGCAGGGTCCGGGGCACGTGGAGCTGCTGATTAATGGGGAAGTGTTAATTGGCGGCGCGGCCTGGAGCCCAACGCTGGGGGCAGGGGGCGGGGTTGGGTGCCCAGCTGGGCTCTCACCCTGAGAGGAGGAGCTTTGAAAGGTTTCTCGCTTGCCTTCCAAGCCCTACAAACCCTCTCCTGCAGGAGGGGAGTGGAAAGGACCCACCAGGACACCTTGTCCAACGGTCTGGCTGCTGTAGGGCTCACTCAGGGAACACATGAGAAGGGCAAACACCCTTTTCCTTGTTCCCTTCAAACCACGTTTTCACAGCTTCCATCTAATCCACCCATGTTTGCAGCCAGGAAGCACAGCCAGGAAGCACAGGCACCACATCCCCTCCCATCAGGACACAAGCCCTGGAGGTCTCTAAAGCTGCTCAAGAACAGACAGGACCCGTTTTTCTTAGTTTTTCACCCAGCAGAGGGGGCTCACAGCATCATGGCAGAGTAAAACTCAAAGGAAGGGGCTGGGATTGGGTCAGGGATGGTTCCACACCCACCTGCCCCGTGCCCAGAGCAGGCCAGCACACCCAGCTACTCACTGCCCAGTTTCCTACCATTAATTAAAACACACCAGGTCTCACCCCAAGGTTTCATTTCATTGGGGTGTGTAACGAGGGCACTTCCCAAGCCTGGGGTGACTGCAGCCACCAAGGGGTTGTGCTCCCTCCCCAGCACCACAGGCCTAACAAGCTGGACCTTCTAATCACTGTTTAAAAGACAAAGCATTATTATTATTATTATTTAAAAGGTAAAGAATTATTTTACCCTTCTTAAATCATTTCCTTTAATAGGAAGTGCTGTTTTACTCTACTTTGTGCTTCTGAAACAAACATTTGTGTGCCAAAAATAGACAGTGTACACATCCTCTGTAGCTATAGATACAAACATGTACAAGAAAGGAGCAGGCTGGAGCAGATGAGCTGGGAAAAAATCCTCTTGGGAAAACCTCTGTCTGGCACAACTGCCACAACCAGATCAAACCATGACCCTGGGGGAAGGGGGAACAATGTGGGTTTAAAAAAAACAAATACAAATTCCACACGCTGGTTTGGGGTTTCTGCTGAATTCCTCACCCCTTTCTTTAGTCCTTTTCCCAGCCTTTCCTTTAGTCCTGCTGATCTGCTGGATCCTGATGGATCTCCTGGTCCATCCAGCTCCAGGGCGTCCTTCCCGCTCCCGCCCGCGTCACTCGGCTTCACACCCAAGAGGACAACGTGGCTCCCCAGACGTTTGGTTCCAACTCCAAGGTTTCCTGAAACTAAGGGAAAGTGAGGAGACTCCAGAGTTCTTGGCCTTTTAGCGGATAGGTCGGTATGGGAATGTCATTCCTGGTATGAATGTTTGCACGGGATGAGCCGGGAGCGCGGGATGTGCCGGGAGCGCCGGGTGCGCGGGGTAGCCCAGGGGAGGAGTGTGGATGTGGGGATAGAATCCTGGTGGCAGAGTGCCATGGGCTGGCTGCTGCACTGGGCCTGAGATCACCAGCTGGAGCAGGCTGTGGAGAGACATTCAGACAGGCAGGAGGGTTATTGGCAGGAGGGTTTTGTCCTGGCTGGCTCCAGCATGGAAGGGCCTGGCTGGAAGGACAATCCATAACTAACTCGCAGAGGGAAGAGGCAGGGATTCAGTTATGATAGAATCATGGAATGGTTTGGGTTGGAAGGGACCTTAGGGATCATCTATTCCCACCCCCCTGCATGGGCAGGGACACCTCCCACCAGCCCAGGTTGCTCCAAGCCCCATCCAACCTGCCCTTCAACACTGCCAGGGATGGGGCAGCCACAGCTTCCCTGGGCAACCTGGGCCAGGCTCTCACCACCCTCACACCAAAGAATTCCCTCCTCATGTCCAACCTCAATCTCCCTCTTCCAGTTTCAATTCATCCCCCCTGTCCTCTCCCTCCCTGCCCTTGTCCCAAGTCCCTCCCCAGCTTTCCTGGAGCCCCTTCAGGCACTGGAAGCTGCTCTAAGGTCTCCCTGGAGCCTTCTCTTCTCCAGGCTGAACACCCCTCCTCACTTCATGTTTCCAAGCATTTTGGCCCTCCCAGCTGATGTTGTGGTCTCTGTCTTGTCTCCACAACATCCACCCACAGGGCTTGTAGTGCCCTGTCCTGTGCAGCAAGAACCACCCAAACCCACTCTGCACATTGGGGTGGACCCAGACCTCCTCCTTACCCCAAAACCCCCAGATTTTGCTCAGAAATATATGAGCAAAGGTTTTACAATTACTCATTGTCTGAAATAGCTATTTATTTTGGGGGGGCAGATGTTCCAGCAACCCAAAGCCCTGAACTCGTCACACCTTGAGAGCATCCTCGTGTGCCCTCCCTGAATCCAGAACTGCACTCAGCAGGTATTTGAAGTCCTGATTTGCTCCTTAACACTTCCCTGATTTTACCAGAAGTCCTTGAGAAATTTTAACTTGATGGGTTCATGTATCTAGTTTGGGCTAGGGAGGAATTTGAGATGGAATCCCAGAGATGAGCCTTTAATGACAGAAATAAAACCCAGCCCGTGGTGGGAGAATAAATATTTCCATCTCATAATTTTTTTTTTCCCTTGTCAGGACAGGAAAATCAAGGTATTTGATGGGTTCAGCA